CCCCAATTCTATCCAAAGGAATACTGACAATGGATTGCTGTAGATGAGGAACAGCTGATCCTCCTGGAACAGGGACCTCTGGCTGACTAGATTTATCAGAAGGACAGATGGGGGCAATAGATGGGGGTCCTGACAACACAGTGGACATTGGCAGGGATGACAGAGTATGGAGGCTCTAGAGGGAGAAGAAGGCTGTTTATCTGACGAGTTTATATTCATACTCAGATGCCACGGAACTCAGAAAGTAAGTGACTGTGACCAGTAATAGTCATATATATAGAGATTAGAAATGCATGTGAAAACGTCTCAATGTCAGTTGCCTTAAAATGAATTTTTCTGTATGAAACTGTATTTTAACAACGAAGTGGAGATCTTTTCTAAACATTAAAACCTCATTTAATTTTATGTCTTGTAGAGTTTATAATCAGTAAAAGATTGTACAAGCGTAATAATTCCTCTGTAAACCTAAAAATGTACAGCCAATTTTGAAAGAGATGTACCCTAGCTCAGAAAAATGTTATTGAATAGGTTAATGCTGTTGTAATGAAATGCTTCTTCTAATTAAAAAAAAAACAAAAAAACTTTACAGTATTTTTTATTCTGCTCAAAACTGCTCTCAATTTTCATAGAATTTACCTCTAGCTTTTAAAAGAAGGTATTATTGGGTTGGAAAGATGGCTCAGCAGTTAAGAGCACTGACTGTTCTTACAGAAGACCCAGGTTCAACTCCCAGCACCCACATGGTGGCTATGAACTATCCTGAACTCCAGTTCCAGGAGAATCCAAAACCCTCTTCTGATCTCCTCGGCAATGCATGACACGGGTGTACTCACATACATGCAGGCAATACACATAAATAATAAAATATGAAAAAAAGGCATTATTAAGAAACATACAATAAATCAAGAGGAAAGATGACTCCAAGTTTCCTACACTTACTTGATGTCGGCACCTGCAATAAAGCAGCCAGGTTTTGACGAAATGAGGACAGCACTTCTGATTTGGTCACTAGCCCAGACTTCATTCAATACTTCTACGAACTCTGTGTGTGCTTCTTTAGTCAATGTATTTACCTGAAGAAGAATAGATACAGCTAAGGGTTTAAATTAAAGTAACATGGGGGCTGGAGAGATGGCTCAGCAGTTAAGAGCACTGACTGCTCTTACAGAGGACCTGGGTTAGATTCCCAGCACCCACATGGTGGCTACAAACCATCCTTAACTCCAGTTCCAGGGAAATCCAAAGACCTCTTCCGATCTCCACGGCATTGCATGACATGGGTGCACCCACATACATGCAGGCAATATATTCATACACATAAAATAAAAAATAATAAATAAAAAAATTTAAATGAAAGTAACATGTATACTATCACTGTCTAATATATTTCTCCAGCAGACATATATTGTTAGAAGGAACAAAACAAAACCAAAACACAGGCCAAAAAAACCCAAGAAAACCCCCAAAAAACTCCAGCGACAACAACAAAAAACAAGAAATCCCTCAAACCTAGCAGTTTTCTGTCTAGGTAGCTTTGGCCAATTATAGCACCTCTCCCTTTAAAAACAGGTCTCAAGGGCCAGCAAGATGGCTCAGCATGTAAAGCAAGCATGCCATGCAACTTTGTCAGCTTAAGTTCAATTCCCAGAACCCATGTAAAGGTAGGAAAGAACCAACTCCATGAAGTTGTCCTCTGACAGCCACACACACTCCATGGAAGGTGTGCATGCCCCTGCCCCCTCCCCAACACCTCTCTCTCTCTCTCTCTCTCTCTCTCTCTCTCTCTCTCTCATCTCTCACACACACACACACACACACACACACACACACACACAAACAAATTTAAAAAGGTCTCAAAAGGGGAACTCGATGGCCAGGCATAGCGGTACACAACTGTAAATCTCAGCACTCAGGAGGCAGAGGCAGGAAGACTGCTGCAAGTTTAAGGCCAGCCTGATCTACATAGCAAGTCTCAGGCCAGGCTACGTAATGAGATCCTGTTTCAAAAAAAAACAAAAATAAAAAGGGAATGTGAAGTTATTCCTCAGAGTTTGAATCACACGCAGGGCGTAAGTAAGTCTACAAATATTTATTGGCCAGGAAAAAAGATTGGTATAACATTAAAGAAAAAAAGAATCAATATTAAACCTGATTATGATCTTCACATGGGGAATGTAAATATGTTTGATGAAACTAGATCAAATGTAGTTATTTTGGGGTTTGAATTAAGAACTGCTATTTTCTTGGTCACAATTTTTTTAATATATCTTATTATTTTTATTTTATGTGTATGAGTGTTATGCCTGCATGTAGATAAGTGCACCCATGTCGTACAATGCCCGCGGAGGACAGAAGAGGCTGTCGGATCCCTGGAACTGGAGTGACGGACAGTTGTTAGCTGCCATGTGGGTTCTGGGATTTGAACCTGGGTCTTCTGCAAGAACAGTCAGTGTTCTTAACTGCTGAGCCATCTCTCTGGCCCCCAATTACAATTTTTATAGTTTGAAATTTCCTGCCATTGCTATGTATTACTTAAAAAATTTTTTTTTGATTTGTTATTTTTATTTTATGTGTATTAGTATTATGCCTGCTGTATGTAAGTGCACCCATGTTGTAGAGTGCCCGCAGAGGACAGAAGAGGGTGTCAAACTCCCTGAAACTGGAGTTATAGATGGTTGTTAGCCACCATGTGAGTGTTGGATTTGAACCTGGGTCTTCTGTAAGAACAACCAGTGCTCTTAACAGCTGAGCCATCTCTCTATCCCAAACTCTGTATTACTTTTATTCAGTAAAAATATTGAACTTGAGAAAATGATGAAAAAAACAAATCTTAAGCTTGACTCATTGGTTAATCAATACTAAGACTTGCTCTAGTGAAGGGAATAGCCTCTACTAGCCTTAATTTGTGACAGTTGCCAATGCTTCCATCTAGGTCCTCCTATTTCTCTCAGGGTCGCACTTAGGCCAGGCTGGCCTTGAACTCACTGTGTAGCTGTGTAGAATCTTATAGTCCTGATCCTCCTGCCTGTGCCTCTCAAGTGCTGGGATTACAGGTGTGATCTGTCATGCCTGGCTTAAAGTCTCCGATTTAATTTAGGCTTATGGTTACAAGATTTTTTTTTTTTTTTAAAGTATGACACCTTTATATCAATTTGAAATGGGGGAAAGAATAAACTCCCACAATAAAGCTTTCTTGGCAAAGACTAGAATAATGTTGTATGCTCTGCTAAATTTGCCAGAACCAAAGTTTCATTTTGAATATAACTTGATTTCTAATATGTGAACTGCACGAGTCACTGAGAGCCCTAAGGTGGCTTAAGAGCCAAGTGGCCACACTTACCCCAGTCAACTTACTACAAATAATGACTGTTAGGCAGGTAAAGAAGAAAGAGGATTTCATAACCTTGTATTTGAAACAGGCAAATTGCAAATGTTATCAACAACACTTATACTTTAGTTCCTGTCTATTAAGCCATCTCCTCATTCTAAACTATAACAGAGGGCTAGGTTTATTAATCCTTGATAGTAATCTGACACCTAGAGTCACAAAGAAGGATTCTTGTACAAGGACATCTGTATCAGAAAACTGCATTCAACTACCAAATTTGTAAATTCATGTGAGAGGATCATTCCCAGGAATGTAGGTTTGATTTCTATTCAGGATATGATTCATAAATGTAGTTGGTAGAAATAAATTGCAGAAAGTTTTAGATACCTTTGAATCAGGAGAATTAATCCGAATAACTGCCACATCCCCTTTGACTCCATAGTTAATATGAGTTCTTGCTAAAAAAGAGAAGACAAATGCTTTATAAACGTTCTTACTGCAGATAGGTCTAAAAAGTGATGGCAAGTATGTGAATGAAATTAAACTTACTCAGCAAAGCAGAAGATGCTGCAAAGTTGCGGCAAATACAGCCTGTAAGGAAAGGGTATTTCAATGAATTATTTTGTAAAACAGAATTTCTGTAATATCTGTCAGACACTTACTGTATCTGGAATTTATACCAACAAAAGCTTCCAAATCAGAACAGTGTATTCTAGGCCATTACTGTGACTACTACCGTATCTTTCTTATTTCAATTATAAGGTCAAATAATTATCGAGATGCTAAAAAGGAAGGGTAAAGAACATCACCCTCCCAGAAGACACATCTCCAGAATCCGAACATGTTAGTTTACATGGTGAGAAAGGACTAAGTATGCAAATGGAATTAAGGTTACCAGTCAGTTGACCTTAATATAGGGTGAGTATAATTAGCCAAATGGGCTTAGTATAGTCACATAGGGAAGAGGGAGGCAAACAAATTAGAGACAGTAATATGAAAATGACTGGCCCCTGGTTGCTAAAGAAGATGAGCGCAAGTAAAGACCATAGGAAGTCTCTAGAAACTAGAAAAGATAAGGTAATGAATCTCCTCCTAGAGGCTTCAGAATGAATAGAGGCTGCCAACACCTGATCTGAGCCATACCTTCGATGTGAGCCTAGTGAGGTCCATTTGGTGGGTCCCCCATGGTGTGTTCCACCCTTCCTAAGGGGAGAATTGAACCCAGGCCTTGTGTAAGCTAGGCCTTGTGTACTTCACCATGGAGCTACAGCTTCAGCCCAAGATCCATTTGGGACCTAACTGTAAATAACATTGTTCAGACACTAAATTTGTTACACAACAGAAAATTAATATACTAAGCAGCAAGTAACTACAAAGCAGTCCAGTTTCAAATGTACTCCAAATACATTCCGACTGTGTTTTCCAGTCATACTTCTTGCTCTTTTCTGAAAAGACAGACTTCTAGGTGTTATCAAAAGTCAAATTCAGGTGTGTGTGTGGGGGGGCCCACATCTTTAAGCCCAACATGTGGGAGGTAGATCTCTGTGAATTCAAGGCTAGCCTGCTCTACACAGTGAGCTCCATTCTGTGGTGGTGGTATTGGACAGATAGTTCAGAGGTTAAGAATGATTCTTGCCAGGCGTGGTAGCACACGCCTTCAATCCCAGCACTCAGGAGGCAGAGGCAGGTGGATCTCTGTGAGTTCAAGGCCAGCCTGGTCTACATAGTGAGTTCCAGGACAGCTGGAGCTACAAGGAGACCCTGTCTCAAAAAGACCGAAAAAAAAAAAAGAATGATTCTTGCTCTTCTAGAGTTCAGTTCTCACCCCCACATCAGGCGGCTCGCAACTGCCTTGCTCCAGGGGACCCTACGCCCTCTTCTGGCCTCTGTGGGCAACCACACACATGTGGCATATACTCACACAGATATATGCATTTTAAAAAAAGTCAAATCAAGGGGAAACAGTGGCTGCTATAAATGAAACATTCCATGTCACAATCAGCTAGTTTAAGCATTCCTAACTGAAAATGTCTCTATGCTGTATTCCACCAAAAATATTCCTATTCAAGACCAGACACTGTCCCTTCTGTTTCATAATCACCTCGTTTTATTTAGGCTCTTCAGAATAACAACATAGCGATCAGCTTCATATGATCAAGCCATCTTGGTTCTAACTACCATTTTGCTCAGCAGATGACTCTGACAAACATCCCAAACTCTATAGGACAAAGCTATTGAGGTAGTCAGCAGAACTGAGTATAGTGGCCCACACCTATAATTCTAGGATTTGGAAGGCAGAGACAAAAGGATGGTGAGTTCAGACCTGGGACAGCCTAGTTTTCTTTCATTCTTCTCTGTTATGTAATCTAAAATGACGCTGAACTCAAGACCCTCTTACCTCAACCTCCCACATTCTGAGATTATAGGTGCATACCACCATGTCTGACTCCAACACTCTTTCTTTCATTTGGGGGTGGAGGGAGAAAAAGGTCTCATTATTTAGGCCTTGGCTGGCCTGGAACTTGCTATGTAGATCAGACTGCCCTGTCTCTGCCTCCTAGTGCTGGGATTAAAGTCTTGCCCCCCCCTTACATCTTAAAGTAATGCTAGCTATTAGTTACTTAATGGTTAATATTAAAACTTTACTCCTAATTTTCATCAAAATATACATGGTTCCAACCTTTTCCACAAAAATTCACTCAGCTCTCAACTGTAAGACCTTTCTCATCCTTGCTTGTATTTTGATCTTTAAATTCTGTTCTCTAATTGCTACATCTATAAGAAGTGTTTTACATTATTACAACTGGGCTTGTTGACCATTGTGCTTCTTCATTAAAGAAGGGGCAAGCAGGGTCAGTGGACCCTCACCAGAGTATCAAGCCACTCTTCCCAGCTAACTGTATGTAATCACACATGGTCTCCTGGATTTGGGGAGGACTAAAGTATATAATCTGGGGAAGGCTAGGAAGAGAAGGCTTGATCCATGCTGGGTAAAGGCTTTCCAGTATGCATACCCCCAGGTCATTTATATACCTCAGCAACCCCTCAGTCATCTCTGTAAGTAAGCTCAGTAAATTCATTGGTTCCCCAGGAAAACTTTAATCAAACATTGGTTTGACACTAGACCCTTAAAAGGGGGTAAGCATTGCTTGGTATCACCAGGAAAAGAATTCTCACAACAGATGGAAAATTTATTTGTTAATGTTATTATGTATCATAGTTATTAAAAAAGAAAATAAGAATGTGAAAGATGTTAAAAGGATATGGGAATGGAGATTTTTCCAAAATAGACAAAAAATGAGAAAGCCTAAGCAAGTGATGAAGGTCTATATAGGTTTGTTAGGATATATAAAG